ATACATGTAACTTCAAGCGTGGCACCATTGCTTCCATGTCATCCGCATTTTTTTTTACCCATGGAACATAAATTAAATGACATTCATGCAATTAATCTATCAATAATCTAACCATATCATACATCATGATTAACCCCTTCATCAACCCCCAAATCCTTAATTAAACCACTCACAATTCATAATTGAAGGATCAACAGAATTGGGATGAATAGAAATAATTGTCATTAATTAAAAAGATTGAACTTACAAATAATCTCAGTGCCTTGAAGGAAACAATGGAAAAACGCAGATAAATTCGTCCCTATGCCTCTCCATAATGTTCGTTACCCCCAAATCAGGGTTATGGAGGCCTTGAAGTTGGCTTTCATATGAAACTTGAATCATGTCCTTTGGATGTTTCTACAAAAAGGTATGGTTGAACAATTGACAGAACATCATCCTGATGGTCGTTTTCAAGCTCTATTCATCTTCTTTTGATCTCGTAACCCTAATTGAACTACTCACAACATATAATTGATGAATCAAAAGAATTGGGATGAATAGAAATAATTGTCATTAATCGAAAAGATGAGACTTACAAATAATCCTAGGGTCGTGAAGAAAACAGAGGAAAAACACAGATAAATTCGTCCCTAGACCTCTCTCTAAATTTCGTAACCCCAAAATAGGAGTATGGAGGCCTTATTTATAGAAAACAGGTAAAATTTGGACTGCATTGAGAAAACCGGGGCCAGGCACGATTGTACCTGCAGAGCAAATCCCGAATTTCGCATCCAGACACGATCATGCCTGGGTTCTAGTAGCCAAGGGTCACGTTCTTCTATAGACATGACGTGCCTGAAGGTTAAGCACGATCGTGCCTTCGCCATGTTCTTCGCCGGTGCGTCTTCTGGGCATGCACGGCGTGCCTAACGCCGGGCACGACCGTGTGTGGCCCTTTCTTCATCGTTTTTCATTGTTTCTGGCTCCAAACGCTCCCGGATGCTCCCGTGATCGATCCAAAGGTCTTTTCTCCATCAAATCTTCATCGTGAACCTCCCAGAGACCTCAAAAACTCTCAAATCTCTCATGAATTCTCTTCAACTCTTCTTGATTGCTTTTCAAGTGCCGGTGCCGGACTCTAACTTCCTGATTTTGACTCCAAAGAACACAAAACTCGAACTAAAACCCGGTAAACATAACTTGAGCTAAAATTGAGACTTATAACACCTTAAAGCTAGGAAAACCATGAAAAGCCAATCCCAACACGCATCAAATGCGTGTTGTAATAGTTTTTCATCATTCGAGTCCTATACCTATACATCTCATCTTTCAGATCCCGAATTGATAATACATCTATCTTTCGGGTCCTGAATTGATAAATTTCCAATAAAGATAAATAAATAATTTCAATTCAAGAAAGTAAGGCGGCCTACAAATCCTACAATACCTTTGTTGTGTTGGGACTTGGGAAGAAGACTTCGCAGCTTAGGCTATTTGGAGTGGTGTAGGATAGGAGTCCAAAATGTTAGAGTTGGAAATTTTGGACTCCTAATTTTGTGAAATGGTGGGTTAAATGGGGGGTTAAAAGTGGGAAAGGGGGTGGAGGGGCTTATATTTGAAGGGCAGGTTAACAAGAGTGAATAAAGGGAAATAGGAAAGAAAAGAACGGAAGGACCGTGCTCGCCACTGCGCAACGCTTAAACTAATTGGTAGGATGACCTCATTGGTGCGTGACATTCATGTAATTTCCATGTTTATGTTTGTATTTTTAATTAGTTTTGATTGATTTTTAGTTTGGAAATTACACACTTTTGGTGTAATAGTTTAGATGTAAAAATGGTTGTAATTTGTTTAGATTAGGTTTGTTCTGAGCTCAAACAGGTCTATGATCACTCTAGGGACCATTGGTGAACATCACAAGTGGAAGGAAGTTGCAAAAATTCCAAAACAAAATGAAGATCCTGATTTTTGGTGTTGTACCCGGTCGGGTATGACCTATACCCGATCGGGTAAGTGGCTGAAAAATCAAATCGGATCAACCCGGGAACAAGGCAACATGCAGGGGAGATTTTGACCACGATCGAGTGTTCATACCCGATCGGGTGGCCGACATACCCGATCGGGTATGCCCCAGTTTTTTATACTTCTGCGAAGCAACCGAGTACCCGATCGAGTGCCTTTACAGCCCGATCGGGTACACAACCCTGCAAGCCTAAAAAGCCTATAAATACACCTCATTTCCTTCACAATGAAATCACCAATTCACATATACTTCTACGCTCAGTTTAGACAAGTTATTTCTTTATGTTTTCTTCTTGTTTAGTCTCCAAAGGAGGAGCTAAACTTTTCCATCTTGGTTTTGCTACTTTGAAGCTTAATGAATTGTAAGTTGTGAGTTATTTCCTTTAATCTTCTTCCTTGAATATTAATTAATTCCTATTCCTATTTCATATTAATATTTTGAGCATTACTTAAAGGATCAACTAGTTTTGTTTCATATATTAATTAATACTAGAATCGATCGATTAATACGCTTGTTATTAAGTCGGTCCTTTCACGGTAGTAAACTCGGGTTGTTAATGCATGCGTCTCATGGTTAATAACCTAAGGGGAATTAATTATATTGATTAAACCGGTAAACCGCTTGTGTTGAGGTTATCAATCTCAATCGTTTTCATCTTGATTTTATTGCTACTCTCGGGTCAATATACTGCGTGTGTTCTATATTAACTCGGTAGTAAGTTTTATTAATGGACGCGTCTCGTTATTAATAACTACCCTCGATGAATTGGATATACTCCTCGATTGAGTATTCGAGAGGAAGATAGTTAAAGATATAACTGGGATCGACGAACATTTCATTAAGTGGATAAAAGCAAAGCCAAGTCTTCTTCTCATTAATTAAACCACATAAGTCGTTCATCTTCGTGTTTAAATATAATTTAAAGTTCATCAACCAATCATAAAACCCCCCTTGTTACTTATTTCTAGTTTTATAAAAAGAGAAGTGTTCCTTTCCCTATTGATACGAACCTTACTTCATTATACCACGTATAATTGTTGTATTGCATTATTATTTTGAGTGCTCACCACGACAAAGTGCACGTCAGTGTGTCATAAAATCCCAATTTTTAAAAAAACTCTTATAAGTTTTTAATTTTCTATCCAAATTTTTAAATAGATATATCAAAATTCATGACATTTTATTATCTTTCTGTTGAGGTTTATTCCTTCAACCCTCGGGTCCAACACGTAAGCTCAAGGATTTCGAGTGGAGTGTGTACGTGAGTGAACTAGCCCAACTAACAAGTGAGATGGATTAAGAAACAATAAGTAGCAAGTAAATGATTAGGTATTATTATCTGTTAATAACTCCCTAATACAATACTTTCGCCAAGGCTCCGTCGGCCGTTCGTCTCACAAGGCAGTAGAAGCGCTGCGAGTAAGAATGCTATAGCTAGAGTGCTAAGAATAGAAAGTTGCTAACCATTTACAATGAAATAAATGCTTCTATTTATACCCACCAATGGGCAGTTGGCTACGCTGACGTGGAAGACTGTGGTTAGCTGGTGTCCCAACCACCAAATCTTCAGCATTAAATGCATTTCCCGCCAGAATCTAGGTTTCCCGCCTAACTGGTGGGGACGTTCGCCCGGCCGGGGGGTGAGCTGCTCCTGGTGGCTTGCAAAGGGTACTAGGTCGTTCGTCCCCTGGCCCTTGGTGATTTTCGCTGTGTAGACTGGACTGCCTCCAACGACGTTCGTCGTCATTCTGATGACCTGCGGGGCCTGCTCCTTGTTGATAGCATAGACGTTCGTCGAATGGGCCGCTGAACCTGAGGCCCTTCTTCGGACGTTCATCCATACTGAATAAGTGGGCCTGCCAGATTGCCTAGTGACCTATCTGGACGTACGTCCGGATTAAGGGGTAAATGGGCCGTACCTCAATTTGGGCCTGATAGAGTATATGGGCCCGGACCCCATGGCCCACATACTCAAGTCAACGATGGCCAGAAGAACACCCACGTGGCCCCCTTCGGCCAGCGGGTCCGCATCGGCCAGAAACCAAACCGGCCCAGGAAGCACGCATGGACTCCCGGGACCGCATCGGCCCATGGACCGTATCGGCCATGGGACCGCATCGGCCAAAAGTGCACCGCATCGGCCAGGCCTCGTCCTAGCAGAATGCATCTCTCTACTTTATTTGCTAAGTATTGTACTCAGCCCATTAGTGGCCCTATTTCGCCCAAAGAAGGCACGATTATTGTAATGGGCCTCCTAAGCCCATGGCTAGGAGCCCAAATCCACATTTTTACCTATAAATAGACCCCTTGGGGCTAGTTATAGGAGGTTGAGAAATATAATTACTCACTTTCTCTCTCTAGCTCTCACTTCTCTCTAGAATTAATACTCTATCAGGGCCATTAACCCAACACTTTCATATAACACGAATCTTACTTATATTAAATTTAATTTTTACTTATATTACGAATATAACAAGAATTTTTTTTACTAAACTGAAAAAAGTAAATAATAAAAGTAACAAATTTTATTTATGAAATTTAATTTTTTTTACATGGAAATATGTATTTTTTTTGTTTCATAATTATCTAGGAAGAATAATAAATACTCTCTCAGTCCCAAATTGTAAGATACATTTACTATTCACTCCTAAACTTTTATTTTATATATCAAAAGTTTATGAAGTTTGAATTATTTTTTGCAGGTTTTGTAGCGGATTTAATGTAGTTTTTAAATATGTAAAGTTTATTTTCTAGAACTAATTTGGATGTTGACAGAGATCAATATACTTTATCGTCAGTCAAACATCGTAAACCAAAAATATTATTTGTAATAGGTTTTCTAATAGTACAAATAATATTTTCTACTCCCTCCGTCCCAATTTGTAAGATTTGGTAATGAGTTCCGTGGTAAGATTTTCCTAATTTGTTTAGAAATCTAGAGCATTAGAATCGCTTATAAATATGGCTTATAATCTATACTTTCGCTTTGCTGATACCGCCTTCTCTTTCCCGGTCGATTCACACCGCTCGCAGGGAGGTGAAATTTCTGTTATTTATTTATTTATTTATTTTTGTTTTTTTGCTTAACCGTCGCACATATTTTTCAGTCTTTCGTTTCTCTTGAATCCCACAAAGAAATTTAAGCGACCAAGAAACAATGAAGACTGCGGTGGCCTACAGCTTAAGATCCAGAACAATATACCAATCTAAAAGCAGGTAAAATTTTCTTCCAACGTATTGTTTGTGAATCTTTTAATGTGATATTTACCGTAGTGCTTATGGGCCGTCTACGTGTTTGTGAATTTGATACATATATCACACATGTATGATATATTTGTTCGTGACTAACATCTGCCCTTTTATCCAATTAGGCCTTCCCAAACAAAAAGGCCTGGTGTATCTGGTCTGACTAGGAAAGACGCAGGGTAACACTGATTGTTGTTATATATTTATTTATTTATTTATTTACGTAATTGATTATTTGTAAGTTTTGTAGCTTTGTATAGGTGTATGTAGATAATTATATATGCCTGGACAAATGTGTGAAATTGGCTGATTTTTCATTTTTTTGTTGGTTTATAAAAAATATTTGGGTGGCTGTGTAGGCCTAAGAGGCAACCTGTCAAGCACCCTGGAGGTCTTGGTCCGCCGCCCCTTGTGCCGACTCAAAAGCAACTAGAAGCTATCAAGGCGATGACCCGGAGGATTGCTGAGCTTGGACTTGAATACTACAATACCAACAATGCTCTCTATGCTGGGGTTAGTGGCAGCTATATTATTCAAGAGGATAAGTGTTGAAGTTAAATTCTTTTGGTAGAAGTGGTTAGCTCATTACAAAAAAAAAATGAATGTGGATGTGATGATAGTAGGAGCTCCTGTGTTTACCCAGGATGGTGCTACCTATGAGCTAGTGGAAACAAGGGAATGCACCTCATTCATGAATCGCACGACACTAATTCTGAAGGCCCATTCCAACTTTACTGCCAAGCCCGTGCACTCAAATGGACCCATCATGCTCTTCTTTACTGAACTCTCATGTGCAGATCTATCAAAGAAACCTTTTGTAGCGACTAACACTACTGTTCACAGCTGCTACATGCTTGGCCGTGATGGTGAAGGTATGTGTGGCTGCAATATCACCCAAATTCAATGTGTTGTCCGCTTGTCCCTTATGAATGGATTTCGTCTTGTTCTTCTTCTTTTCTCCTCGAGGGTTGCAGTATTTAATCAACTAAAGGTGTCTTCTTCCTTTTGCTTGTGGTATTTTGCAGTTAATACAGGTTCTAATGGTTGCATTTCGTGTGACCGGCCAAGTCTTCATCACCCTCTTAATAATGACTTTGATGTTGGCGATCATCGGATTCATTACCTCTAATAAACCCATCGTTAATTAGTGTATGGTGGCTGCTGCTATTACTCAATAGGCGCTTTTGGCCTTAACTATGACATTCTCAGTTATCATCATGTATTTGTACAATTGTACTTCTTATCTTTTTATTGCTACTTGGTTATACATTTCCAATGAATGACAACTCTGAAATGGAGAATTGCAGAGAAAATACAAACCATATTGCAATGCTAAAAGTCAAATATGATAAGCTTACAAAATAGGGTATTCCAAAACAAAAATAGGAAAAAGTCATACTCTGTATATGATTACAACTAGGGGTGGGGGAAAATACCGAAATTTCGGTATACAGGACTTACCATATCGAAAAATACCGAATTTATCAAAATGTTTGGTATACCGACGCTTTTAAGACGATATGATACCGTACCGAATTACTTCGGTATGGTATCGGTATATATTTTGGAAACGAACGGTATATTGGTATACCGTCATCCTGTAATTCCAAGTAAATAATTTCCTTAAGATTGTAAAAATAACTAGAAACACAACACTAATTCAAGGATAAATGACTTTATATCCATGTTTCTTGAATTATTTATACTTTTTGTTGGAGATCGGTGTTATTTTAGTTATATTTATGTTGTTTAAATTATTTTAGCAGAATGTGTTGTTATCTCCATATATCATGTGTTGAAATATCTATACATGTTTATAATATTTTTTGTCAAAAAGTTGAATAGAACACAAATAGGTTATCCCATTGGTATTTTATACTCCCTCCGTCCCAAATTGTTTTGCAAAGTCAACATTTTTTGGTCAACCAATAATAAAAGTCAATCCTCTTTTCGGATAATTAACTCAATTTTTAATAATTAAAATTTACATATTCATAAACTACAATAAAATCTCTTCAAAGTTGTAAACACCAAATTACAATATAATTAGAAATTGACATCCTAATTAAGTGAACAAAACAAAACTGTTTGACCAAGAAAAGTCAAATTTGCAAATCAATTTGGGACGGAGTTAGTAATTAATTTCATTAATGATTTTAGTATATCACTATTAACACTGATTTTCTTTATTTCATTTGACATATAATAATTTGTTATACTAAATCATGGTAATTTACCGATACCGTACCTTACCGTACCGAAATTTCGGTATACCGAAACAAGGTATACCGAAATTTTGGTATGGTAACGGTATGTATTTTTGCATACTGAAAGTTTACGGTAAGGTAAATGTATGCGATAAAATATTCGGTATACTGTACTGAACCATCCCTAATTACAACTCTGAAATGAAAAATTGCAAAGAATATGAAGCATTGAAGCACAGAACGTCATAATAAAGATGATATCTTCAGTGCCGGTCTTCTTCAAAGAACTAAGTTTAATATTATGTTTAAGACTGAGACTTTGGAACTAAGAGCACAGAACGTCATAATAATTGCAGAGAATATGAAGCATTGAGGCACAGAACGTCATAATAAAGATGACATCTTGAGTGCCGGTCTTCTTCAAAGAACTAAGTTTAATATTATGTTTAGGGCTGAACTTTGGAACTAAGAGCCGGAGAACCGAATCGGATCGAACTGTTATTATCTGGTTCGGTTTCAACATTTATTAATGGTTTGATTCTTATTTCTTATTAATCGTTTGATTCCTATTTCTTATTAATGATTCGGTTCTCAATTTCTAAAAAAATATATGTACTTGGAACTGTTAAGGAAATCGTTATATATAATAATTAAAATTTTATTTATTGCTTTTAGTATATACTTCATATATATAACTTTTATATTACACTGATGTGAGTTTTCTCACACTTAACAATGTAGTAGTTAAGTGGTGAAAGTACGAGTATCGTCTCCACAGGGACGGACAAAAGGGAAATAAGAATTAACTAAATTCAGTGATTAAAAGGAAATAAAATAAAAAGCAATTGTGCGAGATATGAATGGTTGGAAGTAAATAGCAGGCAAACGAATAAAATAAATTGGTTTATTCTTAATTAACAACGAAGGAAACAAGGATTGATTCTGGGGTAATCGGATTTCAGGAAGATTAGGTTTAATTACATGAACTCGATTTAATTGAGTCTAGCTAATCATTACTAAGTTCTTACCGCTCTCGCGGCGTAGAGTACAATAATTTGAGGGACCGGACTGATCTCTCATGCGACAGGATCCTAAATTATTACCAAGGTGAGCGAGCTTACGACCCCTTAATCGTAGGGGTGGACTCGGGCCGGGTGGCCCGACCCGGTACCCGGTCTTGGAGCCGGTTCGGGCCAACCGGAACCGTTCAGTTCCCGATGCGAGCTCGAGCCCCATAAAACGCGAACCGGCCCGGGCCCGGTTCGGGCCTAATTTTTTTTTTTTTTTCAATTTTTTTTAATTCTACCGGGTTCGGTGTTTTGGGGGTGGGGGGGTGAGGGGGGGGGGTTGATTACAAAAGCAAAAGAAAAAAAATAAGCCCGAACCGGAACCGGCCCGGTTCGGGCCCGGCCCGGCCCGGCTCGGAACCGCCGGCTACCCGGGCCGGTTCCGGTTCCTTTCCCAAATAAAAGACCGGCTAGGCCCAGGTCCGAACCGGAACCGGCCCGGCCCGGGTCCATCCCTACTTAATCGCTACCAATCTCTTAGCTAACGATTAAGTGTGTGTGAAGGTGCTAGAATAAACTAGATCTCTCTTAATTTATTCTACAAGCAATTGTAATTCTAGCCGCAGTTCTAGGTTACAAGAGATATCAATTAAATTCAATGTTCTAAAAGGCGCTAGGCGTTAGTCGGGCGCCAGCCCAGCGCCTAGGCGCCTAGGCGGAGACTAGTCAGAGACAAAGAAATTGCATTTTTATCTATATATTTGCATAAATATGACAAGTAATATTGTATTTTTGTGTGTATAAAATACATATATACATATACATTAACAAACATGAATGATAGAATTATCATATTTAATCATATGAGGTATATGCTATCATTTAAGCACAATAACTTTCGAAACACATTCAATAGGTACAATTTATAGTAGTTCTTAATTCAAAAATATGTACAACTCCAGTGCGATGCACGGTTGGTGAAATTTCACGTGTATAATTAACTTTAGTAAAAAAAATTACAAATTATGTATAATCACGTGTATAAAAAACAAATTTGTAATTTTAATTTAATCATTTAGAATTAAAATTTGATGTAAAATGAAACATATCTAATACGATTTATCAATGATTACGGAGTAGTACACTAATTTGTATAACCCAATAAAATAGTAAGTAGCACGCAGTGAAACAGTATTAATATAATTTGAAACGCACTAAATTTAATGATAAATGTTATTAAAATACTTCTTTATACACATCATTTTTTGTTTCGTTGTTCGTTCCTCTATCATTGATTACTCTAGACACAATCACATAAAGTTAACTATGATTAATCCCAACTACTGCAGTGGAAAAATTGATTGTAATAATCCCAACTATTGACGGTCCGCTTATAATAATCCCAACTATTGATTATTTCAGAATAATCCCAACTTTAGGGACCTTCCGCCAATAATAGTCTCTGTAAGGGAGTGTTTGCAACAGCTTCTGCTTTAAAAAAAGCACTTTTGGAGTGATTTGGAAAAAGTGATTATTTGTAAAAGTTGATAGTGTTTGAGAAAAAAGTGATTTTGAAAAGTAAAAGTTGGTAGTGTTTGGTAAAATAAGTGCTTTTGGTGTATAAAAAGTGGAAAAGCACTTTTGACACGAAAGCCGAGAAAAATAAAAAATTGGTAGTGTTTGGTAAATAAGTGCTTTTTTAAGCCAAAAGCTGAGAAGTGCTTTTTTTAAAGTGGTTGCAAACCAGCCTTAAATAAATTTATGAAGTTTCTAAAGTGGTTGAAAAGAGATATAACAAGTAATTCCTATAAATAATCCTAACTTTTAATTTTCACGCTTAATTTTTATTTAAAATTCACTTTTATAGGAGGTAATATTTGGTCATGGACCATTATTGGCGGATGACCCATATAGTTGGGATTATTGTTAGCGGATGGGTAATAGTTGGGATTATTATTTTCAATTTTTCCTTGATTTTTTGTATATATCTATTTAAATGATTGGTTGAAAGTTTTGTAGAAAGAAAACGATTACAACTAAAAATTCATTGCTTTAACATAAAAGTGACAATTTTTTGGACAAATAATAAGAGAAAGCTGTCAAAGTGTATAGGACGGAAAGAGTAATATGTGGGTGGCCCGTGGCTGTGTAGGCCTAAGAGGCGACCTATCAAGCACCCTGGAGGTCTTGGTCCGCCGCCATTTCAGTGGACTAAAAAGCAACTAGAAACCATTAATTGCTAGAGGTTTGCTGAGATCGGACTTGAATACTACAATACCAACAAAGCTCCATATATTGGGGTTAGTAGCTACTACCTCCGTCCCATATTTATCTTCATAGTTCGGTTTACGATGCTTGACTGACGATAAAGCAACTCGATCCCTGTTCACACTCGGATTATTTTTAGTAAATAAAATTTACATATTCAGAAACTACATTAAAACCGCTACAAAGCCTGATCAAGAAAATTTAAGTTTGATAAAAATTTGATATATAAAGTAAAAGATTAAGAGTAATTTGAGTTGACCATGTGAATAGTAACTATGAAGATAATTTTGGGACGGAGGGAGTATTATATTCTTATTCAAGAGGACAAATGTTCAAGTTACTTTTTTTGGAAGAGTGGTTAGCACTTTATTACTATTACCATTACTATCAAAATGAATGTGAAGTGATTGATGATAGTTAGGGACTGCTGTGTTTACCCAGGATGGTGCTACCTATGAGCTGGTGGAAACAAGGGATTGCACCTCATTCATCAAACGCATGACATCAATTGTTAAGGCTCATTCCAACTTTACTGTGAAACCTATGCACTCAAACGGGACCCACCATGCTCTTCTTTACTGAACTCTCATGTCCAGTTTCATCCACAAAACCTTTTGTAGCAACTAACACTACTGTTCATAGCTGCTACTTGATTGGCTGTGATGGTGATTGGTGAAGGTATGTATGGTGGCTATATCACCCAAATTCAATGGGTTGTCCCTCATGAATAGATATCTTGTTCTTCTTGTTGTTCTTTTGTCTTTGCAGGTTGTAGTATTTAACAAACTAAATGTGTCTTCTTCCTTTTGCTTGTGGTATT